ACCAGCAACCCCCTCCCCAAGCCATGGAGTTGATTTCCCAGGAATGCCGAGCCCTGGGGTGGGAATTCTCACCTGCTGTGGGAAGCAGGTCCTCACAGAATGCTCCGTGTACCCGAAGGAAGGGCCCTCGAACACGGCCGTGGGGAGCTTCAGAACCTCCCTCAGGAACTGGTCAAACTTGGTAAATATCATTAGCCCGTTGGAATCTGATATCTGAGAGAAAATATCTGTAAGAAAATATAATAAAACCCCACAGTAAATACAGATTTTATTACGGGAAAAAAAAAATGTTTCAATCCGTCTGAACCCCGAGATGTTTCTTTGTGTTTTATCCAGAACATGATTTCTTGGTGCCTGCTATCAAGATAAAATTTATAAATGCATGTATTCCAACATGCCATGATACAAATCCTCCTGTTTCCTCCACCCCATCTCATCCAGCCCAGAGGGAAGATGCTGCCAGTGCACGAGCTGGGACAGAAAGGGAGCAGAGTCACACAGTCCCACCTGGCAGCACTCCAGGGAAATGTGGGAATGGAAGGAACACAACATCACAGGATCAGGGAATCACTGAGGTTGGAAAAGCCCTCCAGGATCACACAGAGCCCACCCTGTGCCCCATCCCCACCTTCTCACTGAGTGCCACGGCCAGGCCTTCCTGGGACACCTCCAGGGCTGGGCACTCCAAACCTCCCTGGGCAGCCCCTGCCAGGGCCTGACCACCCTTTCCAGCAGGAAATTCCTCCTCCTGTCCAACCTGAGCCTCTCCTGGCACAGCTGGAGGCCGTTCCCTCTCCTCCTGTCCCTTGTTCCCTGGGAGCAGAGCCCGACCCCCCCCGGCTCCCCCCTCCTGTCAGGGGGTTGCAGAGCCAGATAACAGGAAAACAGGCCTGTGCATGTGCAAGCAGAGAGACCAGCTTCCAACCATTTCATACAGTTCATGAGATGAGAGAACATTAAAAACACAACTCCCAGGATTTCCAGAGAGCCTCGTGTTCCAGCCGAGCCGGAGCTGCCAACCTGCTCGGGAAAGGGCTGGGATCAGGGGGACAAGGAACCTGCAAACAGGAGTTGTGTGGTGATGGAGTGAGCCAGGTGGGAAAGAAAAGGGGAAAAAAACCAAGCCAGCATGTTCACAACGATCAGAAGGAGAAATAAAGAACAAGAGAACAGCTGAGGCAGAGAGATCAGAGGCCTGTTCATCCCCAGAGCAGATGGTCGGGCCGGCACATTCCCGGCACGTTCCTCCCCTCCCTGAGAGTCCCTTTGCTCTCAGCAGCCTTTGGTGAATTGATTTCCTTCAGCAGAGCTGGTTCAAGGAGCAATGGAGGGCTGTGGATGCTTGGTACCCACCACATCCTCGGGGGAAGTTAAAGCAGAATTGGTTCCTGCTGCTTCCATCTGTCCCTGCTCATCCCAGTCGCTGCCCTTTGGTTCCTGCCCTGGAAGGGGAAGGGAACAGCTGGAAGGGGGAGGGAACAGCTGTTTCCTCTTCACCACCACGTTGCTCTCCATGATTTCATGGAACACTCTGTCACACCACCAGTTTTCTCTGCAGCTGGAGGAATCTGCTCCATCTCCTTGTCCAGCAGGACTGGGGCATTTGGATCGTGGGCTGCTCTGTGGAGGCAGCTGGGGAACACTCCCTGGCTCCCAGAGGGAATAGTGGACGTGGCACCCAGTGCTCTGGGCTGGGGCACAAGGTGGGATCAGTCACAGGCTGGGCTCCATGGCCTGGGAGCTCTTTTCCAACCTCAGTGGTTCTGGGATTCGCGGGTCAGCGCCGGGATCGGCAAAAAAATCAGCTCCCAGAACTTAATACAACAACAAACCCGTGTGGAAATGCAGTTATTTCCTGAAATGGCTGGAATTGTGGGGGATACTCACATCTGAGTTTGTCCAGGATTTTCCCACCACACATGGTGGCCAGCATGGCTTTCACTGAGAACACCGTCAGCTTCCCGTGGCCCTCGCTGTGGGGAGAAGCACAGGGTGAGGAATTCCAGCAGGGAATGGCAAGAACTAAAGCACTTAAGGCCTAGGAAGGAAATGTATAAACCATTATACTATTATATATATCTGCATTAAGTACTAAGGACTGCCAAAGCTATTTAATGCAACATTCACACAGGGATAACACCAGCGTTTTTAATGCACTGCAAGAGTTAACAAGTGTCTAATCATAAATCAAATTTCCTTGCAGAATTATGAAAAATTCCCAGATAAAGAGCCTGACATTTGTGCTGTCCATCCCATAACCCTTCTATAAAACAGTGCTAATTCATTTTTTCCATTAAACCCATTTGTTCATTGTGAAACTCCTCATTTTTATCTCTGCTGCCCTCTGTTAGTTTATTTAAACTTTAACTCCTTAATTTAAACCCTGACGTCCAAACACACATTTCATTCTAAAAACAGCCCCTGAATTGACAGGTAACAGAGGTTGTGTGAGATCCTGGAGACCCCACATGGAACAGGGATACTGGGAACAGTGTTCATTTGGAACTGAAGTGATTAAAGCTGCTGTGCTGTCAGAGCAGTGGCACATTTGGGAATCACTTCTGCATCAGCAGGAGAGAAGGGATGTGGCTCTGTGGAAAGCAGGGAAGAGCCATCCAGCACAGCAGGATC